CGTCTAGAGCCAGGAGATGCTGTAACACAGACATCAGAAGCTTCATAGATCAGTTTCCTTCTACCTAAAGCCTTTGAACATCTCATACAACAGTTCTCACGGCTTTAATCATGAACTTGACCATGGTTCCAAAGGCCTCCAATCTTTGCTATTACCATACAGGGGCCAATGCACACATATGCCTGTACTTTGACTAAATAGCTCTTCCTTCTTTCCCTCTAACACTTCCACACAGGTGTGATCCATAACATGGCTCAAGCCTTATCTAACAGGCCCTTCAGCAAAGAAAAGCTTTAGCTTTGTCCAAAAATCTTGTTTTTCTTAACTAGCTTTAGGATTCATCAGGAGACCGAGATGACGAGGCAGTCAGGCCCTCACAGCACCAGATCGCTTTCTCCCCTTACCTTTTCCAAACTCGTATCCCATCTGAACAAGCAATTTGGAGCCGATACCACGAGTATGGGCTTCCCAGCCACCGAAAGAGGAACTGCATGCAGGAGTCCATTCCCCGTTCTCTGGAATCCCTGAATCTATTACTGTGGCACAGAAGAGATGCATCAGTGAAACACAGAAACAAAGGTGCTACACAAAACCTTCACCTGGGGCACCCACACAGCTGAAATCCCCTCACAAGGCAGTAAAATACACTTCCCTCACCCTAGAATCATTCAGCAGCTCCTTCAGCCTTACTTGGTTCCCATCGAGCTGTTACCTTTTCTGAACACTGCATAGCGAGTTACTTAAATGCAAGTTCTCACTTGATTTAATGCACATAACATCTCATAGTTCCAAGCAGAATCATCACAAAGTTTTTATGTTTCTCTTCCTTCCTTCTAGGACGGTCATGCAGACTGACATATGCCACCAGAGGAAAATGTGGCACTGTGGCATGTAATATTTATTCTGTGCCTCCAGCTCACGTCTCTGCTATGAGGCTCCTCTAGGCCACTATACTAGTTTTGTGTTATTAGGATTCAATAATCTCTATTAGGCTAAATTAAAGAGCTCCAGGACACAAGTTTGTCCCTGTGACGTAAGTGTGGCACTAGCACAGGGACAGTGCTGTCTGTGTAACCTCAGAAAAGTCACTTGGGCTCTCTCTGTGTCAGCTTTCAATAGTAAAACAGGGCATGGCTGTTCCTGCGACCTCTTTGAGGCACTGGAAGGACCAAACACTCAGTTACCAGGGTCTTGTGCTCTTGTGTCATGAAGCTACATGGAGCTCCCACAGATGAGGAAGTCTCCCGATTCAGTTATTAGCTTAACTCAGCCAGCCACAAAAGAAACAGACTCAGAGCTTGGAACTCAGCTCTAAAATATCACACCCTCTTCTTTCACGTGTTGGAAGTTCCCATGGAAACCTCCAACCCTCATTAGCCCAGTAATTTGCATAAACCAAAGATTTTAGTTTGCAATTGTAACATAATAGCTAATTACTGTTCTTTATCTTTCAGCAACATATAAAGAGATTAGCTACTCTCTCATCAGAGGCGAGACGCTTACAATGAAAGCCCCAGGAAAGTAATTCAGCAGGCCCCAGAGAAAGGCAGACCTAGATCACAAGTCGCTTTTGCTCACGCCATCCCCACTCACTCACCTTTAGCATAAGCAGAATCATCGACACTGTCTTCATCAGACTCGGCAGATTCGGTACCATCTTCACTTCGCAGCGGGGGAATGACACTATCTCCTTCCACAACAGCTTCCTTGAGCAGCAAGGAATCAAACTTCACGGTGTAGTAACCACTGTCGATGTCTACAGAAGGAAAAGCAAGGAACAAGAGTTCAAGTAAGTCTCCAATACGCAACTGGCAGAGGATCTTCTAAAAGAGAGTTAGCTCCAGTGGAACCACATGAGACAAGGGGAAGGCCCAAGGAACATGTGCTTTAAAAAAATTCTGGTTTTACTTTGTGCTTTAGTTATCTGCCTGGGAGGGAGAAGCACCCGCTGCAATGAAAAGCTATTTCCGCAATGCCTCTGTTGATACTTAAAGGTTTATTTCTAAAAATGAAGAAAGATGGGCTGCTGAGAAATGGAATTAAAGATAAGTCAGACTTGCTCCCCTCTGGCCTAATAATAGTCAAAGATGGAAAGAGAGAATAGACCTTCACCCTTCTCAGGACTCAGGGAAGCCTGTATCAGCAGCTGATGGGCAGGGTCAGCTCCCCAGGCTTTTGTTTAAACAAGAGCAGATTATTGCAATTCTAACCTAACAGGCATGCAAATTTCTGCATCTTCCCTTTTGGTGCAGTTAAGGACCACGTAGTCATTTCCTTTCCACATCCCTGCTGTCATGTCTCCTTTTTGTCTAACACACTTCTGTTTCCTAGCCTATTCTGTTCCCAAGCCTGACAAAATTCAGACCATTTTCTCAGCAATGTCAAGAGTCTCAGTTTAGGGATCCAGCTACGTAGTTAGCATTTTTCTATCATTAACCAAAATAGTCAAGCTTTATATACACTTAAGCATCAGCCTTCACCTTCCACACAGACTCCTGGCAAAGCACCCTCAAGCACGACTCACCGGTTATTTTTGCAGTGTACCATATTCCATCGCTGTGTTTCGCCAGGCAGGCTGAGCCCACCTCCAGTGCGCTCAGATTGGGCTCCTGAAACGGCTGAAGCTCTTCCACAGAGACCACCTGACCATGTGAAAACCTGCCGGGGAAGGCGGAAGAGGAATTATCTCTACCTCATTTGAGCAGGCTTTAAATAAAAATTCCTTCTCTCCTTAAAGGAAATGCAAACATTTCAGCGGTGATGAATCTTCACCAGTGATTATGGACGCTTTATCGTGCATTATTTCAATTACAAAAGCTATTCATTTCTCATCTTAAACATATTATTTAGGCCATGTAACAAAGAATGCATCCCACCTCAGAGAATTAAGCTTTCCTTGCTAGTGACACATCCAGCAAAAAAGTTCACAGGTCCTTTGAGATAAAGAGATCACACAGACACGCAAGTGTCTAGTCCAACCTCCTGCCCAAAGCACAACCAACTTCAAAGACCGATGAGGTGGCTCATGGCCTTATCTAGTTAAGTTCTGAAGATCTCCAAAGACAGAGACTCTACAACCTCTCCGTGCGACTAGAATGTTTGCACTATTGACAGACAAGCTTTGGTGTTTTATTTTAAAATAGCTAGTCAGTTATTAATTTAGCCACTCAATTATGTAAAACCTCTGCAACTTTCTCTGCATTGGCTAAAGAGCCAAACTGATGCCACTGCTTACCATAACACATTTTAAAAACATAAACAAAAAGGCCAAATTTCATCAGGTATAAAAGCCAAACAGGGTACTTTCAGAGGAGGTTTATCCCTCTGAAGGACAAGGCCTTTAGCTACAGGAAGGACATAAGCCCCCTCCCATCCCTTTTTCTTTTTTACCGACAGTTCTCTTTAAATCTGCATTTGTCATCCAAGAAGAACGGGCACGGCTTCAGAGACTTGTGAGTTGGATAGAGGTACAGCACTCTGACTCCTGCACTGCCATCTTCTAAGTCCTCTGTCCCCACAATCATGGCATTATGGTACTCCAGGGTCCCCCAGGAACTGTAGTAGGGGGCTTTAACCTTCATCCCACTCAATTCCTCTTCCTCGTCCTCTCTGTCAGACTCCTCCTCCTCCTCACTATACTTTGATTCTGTTTTGTCATCAGTTTCTTCATCTCTCTTTGATGAGATCTCACTGTTATTAGCTGAGGGCTCCTCGTCAGTTCCAAGCTCAGCAATGGCTTCCTTAAAAGCAGCGTACTCCTCATCTTGAGCAGAACTGTCTGGGTTGGCATCCTGCTCCAGGAGACCTACTGGGGAGGAGGAGGTGGCATCTGTATCTAAAGTAGCCAGAAGTTTGCTCTTTTTAACAGACACCAGGCTGGACTCGGTCAGTTCTATCAGCTGCTTTAAATCTTCCTGCAACTGAATCAAGTCTGACTGCTGCGATGGGTCCAGGCCTGCCCCTAAAGCCAGCTCCACTTGCTTCAGCTGGGCATTGTAGCTCTGAATTGCTACTTCCAGACTCTCTTCATCCATTATCAGCAAAATAAAGGTGTGTTTAACTGTGTCCTTTCCGGGAACTCAGAACACATTCAAAGAATTTGTTTAAGATCAGCGACTTTCTGGATAACAAGCCCTTGTCCGCCGAAGCTACCATGTACCCCGCCGTCCCGCTTCTTCCCTCGGAAGTAACCAGGCGATGCTCCTGCAGCGAACAGGCGGCGAAAGGCGATGAGAGAGTCCGAGGAGAGGCCGGGCCCTCC